CTTAAGTAGATAGATTATGGGGTCTACGGGGATCTTATGATAATATACCCAAAGCCGTATTCTATCTACTTAAGGGGATCTATAAACTGAAGTTCCAAGCCTCAGGAGTTCATCCTGTGTGGTTGGGGGCTAGGCATGGCCATGACTTTGGCCTTCCGAAACCTGGAGCGTATGAGCTATAGTCCTTGAAGGAGGGTTATAGAGGGATTATGTAGGGGAGTACTTTAGGGGCTAGTAAAGGGGGATACTAGGAGCAGTTAAGATTATAGCATATATGGCCCATGGGATTTCTTTAGTAAGCCGGATAAAGGTCCTGGTCATTGGCAAGGTGAGGCAGCCGATCAGGCGTCAGGAAGTAATGGTGGTAGATGTAATATAGTCTCTCCGAGTGGACACCCAGTTAATAGATTCACCATGTTGCGTACTCACCAAAGCCCTCGACCGCTATTCTTGAACGGTAAACCTTGGACCGTGAAATCCTACACCGTATGCAGACCCAGAACCTGAGACCTTCGTAAATCCTGAGCTCTACACCCTAAACGCCATCCCTAAACCCAAGCCTTGAAGTCTGAATCCTAACACCTGAAACCCTAGACCTACATAATCCCAGTTCCCATACTGCCTCCTCCTCATATCGGTTTCCTTTCTGTTTCATTCTCCATTGTTGGGGTAAGATTCCTAAACCCTGGACCCTAAATCCTAAATCCTGAATAGTAGGGTCTTTTTTCTCTTCCATCATGCAAGTATAACTCCCAACCCCAAACCCTAAAACCCCAAACCCCTAAAACCCCAAACCCCTGAACCCCAAACCCCTAAAGCCTGTAAACCCCCACAGGGACAGACTAGGGTTCCCGGCCACCCTCCGTGACCACACCGAGGAAAGGTCGCCGCTCGGTGGGAAGCCCCCGCCCAGTCGCAACCTTTGCGTCCAACGTTTTCGGGTTTAGGGTTTGGGGTTGAGGTTTAGGGTTTAGGGACCTATAGTTCCCCTCAAGTAGATAGAATATGGGGTAAATGGGGATCTTATTAATATGCCCAAAGCCCTATTCCATCTAGTTGAGAGGGACTATAGACCCTGAACTCTGAACCCCAAACCGCCTTAGGGCCTTAAGATTGTGTTCGCCTTTCCGGGCTTAGGTGTTCGGCCTTGGGGTCTAGAGGGTTTAGGTTTAATGGTTCGAGTCTTGGGGTTGAGAGGTTTATGGTCAGGTTTGGGGGCCTTTGCAAGAGTTGAAGAGAGGGACACCACGGAGACCTTAGAAGCCTCATCCGTTCGTCTGGCCAGACGCCCTTCTTCTCGTTGCCTCACTGTCGATTTCTGCCACCAGGACCCCTAGCAACCCTAAGATCATGTCCTAAACCCCGAACCTTAAACCTTGAATCCTAACGAAACCATACGCTAAAGAAGCATGGTTCCTCTAGGGTTCAGGGTATAAGGTTTAGGATTTGGGTGGGTTTGGTCAACCTGCACCACAACTTCAACCTGCACTTGCAGTGATGGTGCATGGTCCCGTGCAGCTACACGTCATCTTGCTGGCAGTGAGTAGGAATGGAGTGGATGAATGGAGTATAGCGATCCTTATAAAACCCGAAAAAGGGCTCTACAACCTACTCCTTCTTTCCTACTACCCACCAGAAACCCCATCAAGGATAATTTTGCGCTGCTTTTGGATGTCCTTCTCTTAACGGTCTTTGGAATCACTGTCATCGCCTGCGATAGCATAGTGGCAGGCTACGTGGGCTCATACTATACTATATTAAACGATTATATACTTTTCAACGAACTACGGACTACCCCGCAGAGCTGGCCTGCGCTGCATTCTGTGCAGCACCTTTTGTGTCTCTTCCTAGACCCTAAAAGTAGCCATAGGGATCCAAGCATACAAATCGTAACCACATTGGACGCTAAAGCCTGTAAATATTACCTACGTTGAGCTATATGGATCCCTAGCCTAGGGTAGGCAAAATAATTGTCCAAAACCGCAAAAAAAAGGTCCAAAAGGCTATGATTCTATGTACTACGAGGGTCCAGGCTTGCTCATCAGAACAGCCGAGCTGCACGAATTACCCGGGTAACACAACCTAATTACAGGAGCCCATGCAAGACTGCGCTCTGCAGACCAGAGACCACGCGAGCATTATTCCAGCTTCATATCCGAGAGTTTAGGGGTTCTATAAACCCTATAATCCCCGTTTCCATTTCATTTTCCATTTGCTTTTCCATTTGATTCTCCATTATAGGGGGATAATATTACCCCAATGGGTACTTTAGGGTTCAAGGTTTGGGGGCTTAGGCCATCATAGCTCTGGCATCCCGACCAACACTGCTCAATTAGAGTTTGGGCTTGCGTCGCGTTTAGGGAAACGTGAAAAAGCGCAGCTAAAAGTGTACATGCAAGCCTAGCAAGTCCCTCGCCTTCGCGCGTGCAAACTTTTGTACGGCATCTCTTTTCACGAGGCCTTCAATACCAAATCAACGGGCGGTGAGCGGTGAAAATTGGATGCAGCGCTTGCACCCTGCAAATCTTCGTCCACTTGTGCTACGGTATGAACGCCGCTTAGCCACACCGGCTATGAGGCATTCTGGCCATTCAAACCATGGTCCCTGCAGCCCACACTTCAGAGCTTACACCTCCTGGTCAGCATACAATGGCATACAACCAAGATCCACTAGCGCAAGCCATGTTGCAACAGTACTGCTTAGTGAAAATTGCTGCGCGTCACGCTCAGTGCAGCGGATTATTGCCAATCGCGGAGGCTGCCACAATGGTGCCAATGCTGAAGAATGGCAATGATGATCCCTGGTACTTCCTTACAGTCAAGGGCAAGCCGGTTTTGGCACAGGGGATGGGAGTTTGTGGGGGTTGTCTCTGTTTCACACACTGCAGGGGACCATCTTCGCAACCAGGGCTCACATCGTTCTTGATGGGATCCTCAATGAACAAAGTCTTTGCAAAGTAAACCTGCGGCAGGAGCAGCGCGAGCAGACCCAGCGCATAGTTTGTCTCACCTGCGAGCGCAGGCTTTCGTTGTAAATCGCAATAATAATGATATAGTACCAATATTATGAAGGAACCACAAAGGCAACGCAATTTCAATAAGACTCGCAGCATTAAAGAATGCTTGCAGGACATGCGTGTTTCTGCAAGGCTGCAGCTGCGCTGCACAAGACAAGTTCTTGTGCGCGAAGGGTTATTTAGTGTCCCATCATACCGCCTCCACACTAGGAGCCTCGAGTTCTACAGCACCTGCCGTCAGGGCGGGCTAAATCCGGTTCCATGTTAGTTTATGAGGTCCCAACCCAAGAAGGCAAAGGGGTGCAAATATCGTTGCCATGTTTTTTGTGGTCTGGCTGCACCAAAGTAACTTCTGTCCCACATGATCAGCCATCGGCCAATGTTGCTTGCTTAACAAGTTGCCGATATAGAGCAGATATCCGACAATTGTGAGCTGCACGGAATCCTTGATGATTGGCGCCATGTACCTTGGCTTCCAAGCCACTTCCAAAAGCTGCATTTACTTGAAACTGGTGCTGTCTCATAGCTCTCCCCCACCACCCCCTCCCAGGAAAGGATGTAACTTTAGTCCCCCTTAAGTGGATTGCATACTGAATTTCCTAAAATCTTAGTAAGACCCCCATAAGCCCGTATTCTATCAACTCACGGGGACTAAAACCAATGAGAGGACTGATAGGTCGAAACTTTCCACTAGCTAGGTTCAACAAGTCCTTCTTGTGGAAGTGTCCTGCACAGGCCTGCATGACCCATGGAGCAAGAGACGGGCTGCTTTGCAGTATCCACGCCAAAGACGACTGGAGCGGAAGAAAGCCCCAGCTTTTTATCTCCTGTCAAAACTTACTTGGGTTGGGAGCTTTTGGGTTGAGGGGCTAGGTGTTTAGGGGCTCAGGGAGTTTGGGGCGTTCCGGGCTCAAGGTCAGGGGTCTGATCATACAGCACACAACAACTAAAAAGCCTAGGGCTGGGTGAAGCGGCCAACAAAAGCGGTACGAGTAGGGTCTGGGCCACGGTTCTTTGTTTAGGCTTCAGGGCAGCCTTTGCCGGAGAACACACTGCTAAATAGTTAGAGGGCCCCTATATGAGCTATAGTCCAAGCTCCTAGTATCCCCCTTGATATCCCTTTTAATAATCCTTTACTTAATCCCCTATATAACCAACTTTCAGGAATTCAGACGATAGCTCACATGTACCCTCAAGGATCCATAGAATCACCTAAGGGCCCATGTGGCCACTACTGGGTTGCTGTTAAGGAACTTAAATTAAGTTGCAATAATGGGTATGTATAGTAAATAATAGGGTTTCCCCAATACAGTAACTTAATTTAAGTTCCTTAACAGCAACCCAGACTATGGTCTCCACTCTGAGACAGCGACCGACAGGCTTTCAGCAACCCTTCTCATGGCCTTGTTGCAGAAAGCTAATCTTGGGTCCCTAATGCAAAGAGGGGAGTCCTGGGTTGTGTCAGGGTTGACTTGCTTGCCTGAAGCTGATTTGGGGTCATTAAGGAAGCTGCGGCTGGTCAGCGCCTTCCACGCTTTTGAAGTCGTTCACGATAGCAATGCCGACAGCTGCCACCGAGTACCAAAGCGTGAGAACAATGATCTCAGGCGTCGCCTACGGGGGTTTAGGGTTTAGGGTTATCCCTTTTTTGGTACCGATTGAACTTAAAGTGTCCATTTTCTTTTCCATTCCTCAATGCCCAAATAATTTCTTCAATTTACTGGTCCATTCCTTCCTTCCCTACTACCAACTAGGAAAAAAGGGGTGTGAGCAGCTCGAACCAAGTCGAAAGCCCCAAGCCCAGGAAACCCTGCACTTCCCCTACAAAAACGGTTCCACCTTGAAATAATGTTTATATCTAGGTGTGTCTGCCCTGTAGGGTTCTAGTATACCATACAATGAGACATATTTCAACAGATATCGCGGGCACGGGGACCACATGTCTTGGTTCCACTGTACTGGTCGAAAACCAAAGCCGTCCTTCACATGCCCGTGCACTGGCGCGGCAACATAATGACTTCCAGGACCCTACGGTGAGGACTGTCCCCTTCTCAACATATGTGACCGTCTCACATGCCCCCTCGCGCCTTGATTGAAGCGCATTCCTTCTTCCAAGTATTTTGCAAACCTCTGTTACCCTCTGTAACTATGTGATGCAATGGTCATCTCACGACCCCTGTTCATGGGCAGGTACGTCTCGGGCATTTCAGGCCCCGCGAGCGCCTGAATCTTCACTAAGCTGTAGTTCTCAAAATTCGCCCCATGATCCATCCTCCCTACAGCGCCTGGCAATTTCCCAAAATAGTATAGGGGTACCCAATATAAAAATAGACCCCAAAGTACTGTAATTATTATGGGGACCCCCCAAAATGGTACCCCTAATTTTGGGAAAATGCAACCTCTCCCTTGAAAAGCCCAGAAACCCTACAGTTTAGCCCTATAAAGCCGCAGTTTTTGCCTGGCCAAAGGTGCACTGCCCTGCCAGCCAGGGCAGCGCAATGTAACTGGATCCCAAGGCGTAGCAGCCAGTGATCCAGTTCTGTTTCAGCTTAAGCCTTGGCTTGTTGGGTTGGCAGTGTAGGGCTTACTGGTTTAGGTTTAGGGTTTAGGGTTTAGGGTTTGGGGTTTGGGGTTTAGGGTTTAGGGTTAAGTACCTACATCTTGATAAAAATTACCCCTCAACCCATACTACTGCAGGTAATTGGGTTTGCATGGTAGGCTTGGTTTGCAGAGGGCAGTATACTAAGCTTGTGAAAGTCGAGGCATGTTCGTCGGCCTGACTACAGTTTTGGGGTAACAGTCCCCTCTATGTTCAGCATAGTTGGCTATTCATCTTTTGAGACTATCATACAACAGGCATAAAGTCCTTTTAACAGGAGTCGGGATTACCAAAGCCCTCACGGAGGCTTCAAGACCTTTTTGAATAGGGGTCCCCTAAACCCTAAACCCTAAACCCTAGACCCTAGGGGTCCCCTTTGCGATCCTGCAGCTAATTGGGGCTTATCAGGAGAGAACTAAGCAGCCCTGCAAAGATTATACGGGGATAATTTTGAGAAACTCCCAACAGGTGAAACTAACGCTGCTTGCAATTACCCGGGGAGTCGTTCCAAAGATCCTGCGATTCATGTCTGTTCCAGCTTCATCATTAGGACCAATTACTGCCTCCCCTCGCAGCAGGCTCATCTGGCGCTGAGACACATGCAAGCTATGTATGATTTTCTTTAACGTAGGGGCACCTGTAGCGACCCTAGGGTATACAAGGGTGGTATGCAGGGTCCCATCCTAGGAAAATAGAAAAAGCAGAGTTGAGACACTCTCATACAAAACAGGCTGTTGACGGAGCCGATTCCCGATAAGGTAGAAAGCTTAATCGTGCGACTAGAGTTAAGTAGGTAACAATATGGCTGGAGGCGGTTCCAAATCCTTGAGGAGTCGGCATGGCAAACCTTACAAGAGCTTATCATATCACGTCACGCAGGCGTATCCGGCATATCCTAAGCTGCTGCCGGGACTGAACCGATCAGTGTCCAAGAAGCAACCCATTCTGTGGGATGACTCTTCCTGCTCCGGTGGTTATGGGATAATTCCCCAGGTATGAACAAAGCGGGCCAACTTTTCTGTGCCGAACCAGCGAAACCATGACTTTCAGGTTCAAAGGAGAAAAAGAGAGAAACCCGGATTTTCTGCATGACCATGAGACGTCTGAAGGTTTATCTGCATGAGAGCAACATAAGGATTGTGCTTCGAAGCAGCCAGGTTTCTACGTAAACTTCTGGATTGTGGAAGGTAAAGACCCTCCACGGTCCTTCCCGCAAAGCTCCGATTTACCACAAGTACAACTCATCACTTCTTGCTGGCTGTACCTGGCATATTGAATTGCGACTGGCCCCGCCCCATAACCCTGAAAATTACCACAGGTGTAGAATCTACCAAGCTGTATACCATATCGCCTTGGTGAACCTAACTTACCCTACTATAAGCCTTGTTGAGTAATAAGGTCCCTAAGCCAGTAGAAACCTGAGGGTCCCACAAAGTAAGCCCATGAGTCAGGTACAACTACACAGACCCTCCACAGTTCCTTATCACAATGCGCAGCGGACGCGCATGTGACGCCCGCAACATGAATCATAGTTTTTAGATCGCAGGTACAGTCGGTTCTCCAAGAAACCTTCCCGCTAACATCTACACCCTAAACCCCTAAACCCACCCTGAAATTCCCAGTATCATCAGTCTACACTAGGGTTTAGGGTGACCCCAAAACCCCTGAAACGCTGAAGGCCGTAAACGCCAAACGAAACCTCTGGAAGCTCCGGCCCCTAAGCTCTAAGTAAGTTCCCTGGACCCTGGTAGAAAGATAACTTCAGCTGGTTATTGGGACACAAAACGAAACGCATCTTCAGGGAAACTCCAGAAAGTCCATTAACACCCTCAACCGCCACGGAAAGCGGGTAGGACCTTGACGGCTCTTCCGGGTGGCAGTACAGTCCGCTCCCACTGGCTGGGAAGCTCCACAAAGGCCACTTAACAAGATAGAGCCCCCCAGGTGGACACTAACCCCTAAACCCTAAGCCACGTAACTTTTATCTGGTTTTGCATATGGAAGATGCCAGCCCTTAAAGCGAGGTATCACAGGACAGGGGCAGGGTATAAGGACAAACGATTTAGGGTTTAGGGTTTAGGGTTTCCCCTTTTCGGAGGAGCAACCCCGCACCACTATATCGATATTGCTAAGGGGTTTGGGAAGATTACTGAGTACTGTTAGGTGGAGGAGATTAACCTTACTGGTTCTTAGTAGGGAACAAGGGACTACATTTACTCTATATATAGTATGTTCCTTTATTCCCTACTAAGAATTAGTAAGTATCAAGATACAGCCCCCTTTGCTTCCAGGGGCTTCTCACGGTTCAGGGTGGCTCTAGGTATCAGGTTCAAGGTCCCGGCCTCAGGAACTAGCTGGCTTGCTTTCTCCAGGTGTCGCATTAAACCCTAGATGATATGAGCTAACATCTAAACTCCTAGTATCCCTCTTAGGAACCCATATAGCCATCCTACAATCCCCTACATAACCCCATTAATTAAGGAGTTTAGACTATAGTACACGTAGGGAAAGGGAAGGGCTGGAATTGCATGGTGGACGTCGCAGACGCAGGCAGAACTGCGGAGGGCTAAAGGTGAAAGAATCCTCGTTATCATTCAGCTTCTATCCTCAACCCGAAGACCCCCCAAACTCCTGCACACACTAAAAAGCACCCGAAGAACAACTAAAGCTGATACTTCCTTGAGGGGCACTAAAAAGACGGCCTCCGACTGCTAAAGCCGCAAGAGCCACTTTACACGATGCACAAGTCGGCCAGTCAATCTGCAGTCTTGCCATAGGGTTTAGCGGTTTAGCTGCCCTAAAATGAGGTTTCCCACCATTAGGAGTACCTTTCTGGGAGCCCTTATACTAAGGGCTATAATATGTTGGGGATTGGGGTCCCCCTATTTGAGGGTTTAGCGGCCTAGGGTTCATTAAGGGTTTGGCGTTTAATTTGATGATTTGGCGGCTTCCATAAATACAGGCAGTCCCATGTAGACCCCAACGTGATATACTGTAATCCTTGTCCTCAACATGGAGACCCCACAAAACCCACAGTTCATCTGCGGCGTTGTTCAAAACGCGTACCCTCAATTTAGGATGGGTTTGGGGGCTTTGTAGGGGTTCTATACCCTAGTAAGGGGTAGTCGGTCAGAGGGCAGGGTTGACGATTTATAGGTTTAGATTTAGATTCGGATCTGCCCCACCCACTTTCAGTCTATAATGGGGCTACTAGGGGTCATATGAAAGGCTAAGCATAATAATAGTATCATGAATCATAAATACTATCCAAATTTTAATGCGTGCGGGCATTACCCAGGTTTGAGATTCCATTGGGGTGTTTGGGGAATGAGTGTCGAGGGTTGAGAGAACCTGCGGCCATCTGGGGACCAGGATTCAAGAGCGTGCGGAACCCTACCCACGCCATCAAGACCGTAGAACCCCTAAGGCTCCATATTACGTGGGTGCTATCTATGGACGTTAGTGCCCAATGTAGGTATTAGTTTTAGACTTAAAGGTTCAGGTCTCGGCTGGTGCTGACTGGGACTGCAGATTAACTGGCCTGACTCATGCTGGTTGATGCTGCTGTTGTGCATCATGACAATGAATTCTGTCTGTAAAAGCTCCCCTGATCCGACTTCTGTGTCTTCAGGCGATGGGTTGTTCTTCGCACCCACTGAACTCTGATTTTAGACAAGGCCCTCATGGAACGAGAAGGGAACTCAAACAACATAGCTTTGCGAAGAACATCCCAGGTGAAGTGCAGCTTAGATGACTATTGACTATTGATAGCTCCTTCGCGACCGCGCCTCCAGCATGCGGACTGCCAAGGAAGTGTGGGCGGGAGAGTGTGTATAGGTATTGCCATACCTCCCCCACGAGCCCCTGAAATGCGTCTATGAGCAGGAACACGCAGTTACAGCGCCGAAACTCTCAACATTCAGGGGCCCAACCGAGCGTAGGTCGTATTAGTCTCGGAACGCTCTGCCGGAAACGATCTGGAAAAATCGCAAACTAAACATAAGAATTACCTAGTACTCAAACTGCACCTAAACCCGGTAACCCTACAGCCCGCCATAAATGCACAGACATTTCCCGCGGAGTCTATGCCTTGCACTGCCCTTTCGAATCCTGGGCTCCGCCACTGTGGACTCTGGGGCAAATTAACCCAAGCCTGCCCATGCCCTTCATGGAAGAACACCCCAACAAATCTAATTACACGTGGCAACCAAACCTGTCCGCTTTCCACATGCTTGGGGTGCAGGGCTTTGACGACTTGAGCTGGGAGGTGGGAGCCCCACGGCTACTTGAGAGAAGGACAGGTGGGACACTCAGCGGCTGGCACAGCCGTGGCCACCGACCCACCGGAGGCAAGCAGTGCTAGGCTGGCTTGTCAGAAGGAGGACAATGATGCCGTAGGCCAGGCAAGCCATGGGAATCACACAAACCACAGCAGCCATGGCGGCATTAGAGCTCCACTCTTTCTTCCGCCTGCTAGCCTCCATCTTCTGCCATGGGATCATTGGGAGCAATCCCAGGGCAAGGAAGGACGTGGAATAGGTCAGCACATAGGACAATCCGACCGTGGAACGGAAGGCGGATGTGTCTGCCAGGTAGTTCTGGAGATCGGACAGCTTGGGATTGAAGAGCCCAAAGACCTGGTTGCTGATCACGGTGGACACAGGAAGTGCCGCATGCTGGAATGTCCCAATGAGGCCGTAACACAGGCCTTCACGCCCCTTCTCTGCAAGCTCGATGATCATCAGGTTGGACACAAGCTGTAGCACGGCCATCGGGATCGAGCCGAGTACGTCCTCACCCAAGTAGAAGTACTGGTTGCGAACAAATCCGAAGATGGCCAAGAAGGTGGGGATCGAATCGGACACCGAAACTGCTGTGACGGCAATAGCAATCGCCTTCCTCCAGCTTGCCTGTAGAAGGTACTCCTTGTAGACCCAGGTCGCTAGAATCATGACC